ATGACGAGAAACTGACCAATTCCAGGAACAAACACCATGATAATAATAATGCATTATCCAACAAAGGCCTTCCGTATACTTCAAAACCTAGCCAATTATTACAAAACAGTAAATTGATGCATTCTGAGTGACATAAGAGTGATTTATTTTTCATCAAATTGCATGCATGCGAAACTCACAACATCTCTGCGTTTTTGTTCCATCTCCTCGACAGATTTAGCTGTGAATTTCTCCTCATAATATCTCTCCCTCCATCCTGCTACACCTAGCCTAACCTGTTTGGAAAGCAGCCATGTGAAATTGCCAGCGTGATTAAATGATTGATAAGGTAAATATCAAAAACAAACTAAAGAAGATTAAGCATTCATGCAACCATTGATGAGAATACAGATGAAATAATAGAAAATGACCTTATCTGGTTCGCCATTTCCTGAGCTGAACAAATCACCCTTTTCGCGCAGCCGTTTCTTAAGCTTAAACTTCAATTCTTCTCTGTTTTCTAGTTCCTGAAAATTCACTGTGTATTTAAGTGCACTTGAAATGTGAAAGCAAAGCTCAAGTCCCAAAATAACATCAAGAAAAAAAATCAGCAAAGGCTGAACAAATTACCAAAACTTGAAATGGAGAAAGAGAAATAGTTTACACTTAATCCAGTAAAGGCTAAAATCAAACAAATTATCGCAGGCCAACAAAAGGCAAAGTAGAGCTAGAAGTTTGTTGAAATTCATCTTCAGATACAAGATAACTTACTTCTGCTTTGATGCTATTTTCTGTTTCAACATTTGCTACGCCAATGTTATCATCCAAAGACAGACGTAAATATTTCTGTGGAGGCGAGGAATGCAATAAATCAGACTCTTCAACTAGAGAATCTGGTTGCACCACCTGGCCATAGTTATATTTTCTGCCTACTGTAGCTCTATCACGAAAAAACCTTTCCGATTGCCTCTGTAACAGACATCACAACAATTGCACCAATTAAAAACTAACCCATAGAAGTGAATCAGAAAGTGTAGACTTTTCACGTTTTCTAAGATTTTATTTAACATCTCTAGTCATGTAGCTTCCATCATAATACCTTAAAATGAAAGGAATATGCAGATAACTAAATTATAGAAGGACATTAACCTGAAGTGTTTCTGCTCTCTTCAGAAATATCTGGTTTTCAAAGCACCCAACGGCCTGGATAAAATGCTCCACATTTCTTAAGTCCAGCTGAAAGTTAGTAGATACAAGTTTTAAAACAATAACCCAACAGCCAAGTCAAGTAAGATAAAGAATTGTTTAATCAATGCACCTTGCTTCCATTGCTTAAGTAACTATCCATAGGTCCAAATTCCTTCTTGTACACAGACATCAGTAAATCTATAGCACCCTGCAAGACAACAAAAATAATAATTAGAAAACCTTGTTAGGAATTTTGTTCATACCAAAGCTGTTCTAAGCAAGCTCATAGACTTTCATTGACACAAAGATGCGTCACTAATTTCTGAAAGAACACAGACTATGAGTATATATGTACTACGAAGTGATTTATGCCACTGACACAGAAAAATCTGATACAGGAACAGGAAACTCCTATATACAAGAAATACTAATTTTCAACATATATCAACGAATTTAAGATAATGCTATATGATCAAACAAATGGTAGATCACACAGTACCAGGCATTTTGACAGTTGGAAGAAAGTTATAGCAACAGAAAACTAAGACGGAACAAACCTCCCGTATCTCTAGCGTAGGCATATGTGGCAAGAAATCATTCCCAACAAAAAAACAGATGAAGATGAAATCATCAATAACGCGATCCAAATCTTTTCGCAATCGGGAGTAAGGTATCTGCATGTCCTTTTCCAAATACTCTCGTAGTATCCAGATATTGACCAACTGCCAAAAGATAAGGGAACTTAATGACTATGGTAAAGATATAAATGAGCCCTTATTGCGTGTAATTTTGAAAAATTAGTACAGAAATGTACCTGGTATGGCTTCTTGACCTCGTCATCTGTCACACTATCATCAAAAATTTCTCCTACCTTCCTCTTTACCTTGCCCTCACAATCTGCTGCTTGGTGCCCGATCTGACCACACAAGAAGCATTTGTCTAGACGTCCAGGAAAGAAAACAACCTACGTGAAGTCACCACGGGGAAAATACAGTTGAATTGGCATTAAGAGAAGCAGAAAAAAAACAAAAAAACAATTCCACTAGTGTGCCTTGGAAATTAAAAGACTCGCATACAAATTTGTGACTATTTCAAATGTTAACCAAGTGTCAAAACATACTGAAGAAGAACATGTCGAGATTAAAAACGAGATAGATTGGTTTGTCATTGATTGGGTAGAAATAAAACCCAAAGGAACAATAGTACAAACCTCACGAAGGATGGAAACATGAACTTCGTGGGTGGCCAAAGCCAGCATAATCAAATCGGCGTCCTGTTATTCAGACATAATTAGTAGAAAGGCCTTATCAACTAGCTCAATTAAGATCGCAAAATATTCTTGCATAAGCAAAGATGAAAGAAAATAAAGGGAGGTTATATACCAAACCATACAGACAATGGCGAGTGTTTGGGTTATAACCAGGATGGTTCTTTTGAAGACGTATGTATGACATGATCTTGTGTTCCCCCTCACCAGGAACATTGGCATCTGAGAGGATAACCTTCAGAAAAAGAAAATAATGAGCTAAACCCAAAGTATGCAGTAAGCAGCCACTAGGAAAGTATCAGAGACCCTAATTATTACCTTAATATTTTTCCAACCAGGATCAGAATTTAGTTTAACGTGAATGTAGTATTGCAACGCAAATGACAGTGTAGCCATGAACTGTGTTCCAGGAGTTATAACATTAGAATCAAAAACTTGAGAATCCACTTTAGGAGGCAACCTCTTCCCTTCTTGCACAAACTCCTGCCGCAGCCGCTCTTCTTCAGCTGCCTAAAATAGCAGGTAAGAGATCAAAATCTACATCTTCTTTTCGTAACTTGTAGTCCAAACAATAGCTAAAGAAACCTGAAGCAGTTAATAAACAGAATTGCAAGTTATGGCATTTCGAGATAGTGATCCAATCTTTCTGCTAGTCAATCGTATGATCATAAGAGACTGAAATGTGAATCAACTACAACTATTCTTAATCTTAGATGATGATAAAATATCTTAGAGAGATAGTGCATACTGCTTCTTCTGCATCCTTTGCTGCTCTAAACCTTCTGGATCTCTGCTGATTCATTTTAGCCCTCGGAGCGACTCCGTCTGAAAGTTTTACATACAGGAGACAAAAATCACTACACATACAAATCAAATAAAACCACTCCCGAAATTCGGATTGATTCGTATATATGCACACACTCACCAATAGCCATGAATAAGAGCTTCCTTGGCCGTACCATCACAAAAAGCCTGTCTATGTAATCGAACATGCGTTGAAACACCTCCGAAAACGTAGTTGGAGCAGGCTGAGGAAGAAGCAACATTGTCATATATATAAACTCGAGATACATCAGAAAGAAGAAGAACAAAAATTAGCGTACCTTGTCTTCGGGATGGAAGCATGGATGAATGATTCCGTTCATGTCGAGATACAAATTGTCATACTCGCCATTAGGATTAGGTTCGCAAGTATTGACCGGAATCGTGACGCCATTGAATTCGAGAGGGTCTGGTTCAATTACCTCTTGCAAAATCAATGGATACTTCTCGATTAACCACTTGTAGAACGACGGTACACCCATCGGAACTCTAAAAACCTTGAGGTACTGTGAGTTTTCAGGTAATGAGAGATACAAACATGACTTGTGGCTGCGCCAGTAGTGAAGAACGGGAACTGCAAGCTTTTTAGGTCAATAAAATTATATTCACGGTTATGCAATCATACCAACCGGTTGAGGCAGATTCAATAATTTTTGTTTGATTTTTATATGGAAATTTATAAATAAATATTCATCCTATATGACAGTAAAGAAATGGTGTACATACTGTATCTCTTATAATCCAAACTTGGCTTACCAATTAGATTATGCTAAGTTATTGTTTTCCATGTTTCAAAAATGTATAGAAGATTTTTAGCAAAAAAAAAAAAAAAATGTATAGAAGAAGATGCGACTAAAAGTTGTTTTTCACGGATTTATAAATCAGAAAAGAACAGAAATGCTAATAAAAAAAAAAAAAACAGTTTTACGATTGCAAACGAATCAGTTTTTCGGTTTTTGTTCCTTGATTGGTAAACAAGTTTGAACTCAAGAAACGAATTTCGAAACTCCGTCAAAACATTCAATTCGGGTTGGAAGTGTCTGAAATATGAGTAAAAATTTTAAAATAATTTTTTACTAGTTACAATTAATCTCCAATTTTTTATAAAAAAAGTTATACATTGGTTTATAAACTTTGTATAGTAAGTTAAAGATGATGTACACGTAAGAAAAGAAAAAATATCAATACCTAGCTTCTAACGGTGTGCTAGAATATTATAAAACTAGATTTTGACATACGCCAAGCGTGAGATTAAATGATTGAATATATTTATAATCTATTTTAATATGTAAATGTGTCTGATAAATCATATGATTTCTAATTTTTATAAACTTACAAAATGATATGCATTGTGCATAGATATAATCAAATTAAATTTTGATCAAACATATTTTAATGCCATCAGTTTTAATATTTTGAAGTGCAATTGATCAGAAAATATAAAAATGTTATTTATTTCAATATATTTTAAATATAAAATTAATTTTTATTATTCATGTAAATTATAGAGTATGCGATAAATCAGATAAATTTTAGATTTATATGAATTTGTCGGACATAATAAACGAAAAACAATATATATTTTCCAATAATGAAATGTGTAAATATTTTATATATTATATTAATCTAAAAACATATATACACAATAAATAATATTGTCACAAATATAATAATAAAAAAAATTTAAAATATAAAAAATGTTTTAAAAATAGATGATATGATAAGTCTAAATATTATATTTAGTTGGACTTAGATTTGCAAAACATGTATTAAAGGGTTTATGCTATAAAATTAATAAGAATATACAGAATTAATTGAAATATTTTTATTGGTTAATATAAATGATATATTCCTTGAAACTCTTGTTAAATGACACATAAGATTTTCATCTTAATGTCTACTCAATTAATATACAAAGGATTAAGAATTTAATTAAATATTTTATTGGGCCAAATTGCTTTTTCATATATTTAGGAGACTCAAAAATGAAAAATCCACAATTTCAACGAGGCGTGTGATTTAAACCTGAAAATAAAAACCAAAAAAAGCAAATCCATAGAGGGAGGTGATTTTGAATTATAGATAACGCAACCCAACTCCGATTTACTTTTATCCTCCGGAGTTTGAGTTTCTCCTCCTCCCACCGTCTCTGCTTCTCGCCGCCGTTCGCAGTTGTAGGTTCTTCTGCTAACTAACACTTTCCTCCGCCGGTAACTTTAGCTTCTGTTCTTCGGGAGTTACCGATCTGTCGAATCGCTGTTCTTTGTGTTTTATTTCTCTTGCTTTTCGTTTTCTTATACTGAGAATCTGAGAAGACGTATTTGTGTCTCTCTAATTTTACCTTTGTTATTGTTGTTGTTGCTAATCATCATCATCCAGCTCCGATCGTTTTGCCCTAGTTTTTTTTTGTTTTGCTTCTCATAATTGGGCGATTCCAACTTCTGTTTTGATTGTTTCGTGTTTTATGAATCGAGTTTTTAGTTGTTCATTTCGATTTCCCCTCGATCTGGTTAGAAACTCATAAACCACAATTGGTCATCAAGAGTGTTTAATGCTCAATTTCCATTATCTCTGTTGTGATTTTCTGCTAAATCACAAGCAGCTCATGAAAGCTGAAAGCTAGAATCGTCATTTTAATTTCACTATTTTGATAAAACGTCTTCTTTGAAATTTTTGAGTAAAGGACTGACTATTCTTCTATGGTGGGATTTGTATTGAAGAATAAGTTCGTTAAATCATATGCTTTGAGTTATTTACTAGCCACTGAAATTCTCATGTCAAATGATGCTTTTTGTTTTTTTTTCAGTTCTTCAAGATGATTGGATCGTTTCTTACAAGAGGATTGGTGTACGAAACCATACTATCCTTACATTTGTTTTCTGAATGACAAAGGATTTGGTAGTTACTGTTGATTAGCTTTCCTAAATTTCCTACATTTTTGTTGCAGGATGGTGTTGGGTTATGCCTACCCTGCGTATGAATGCTACAAGACTGTTGAAAAGAATAGGCCTGAAATTGAGCAACTTCGCTTTTGGTGCCAGTACTGGTATATAGTTTATTGCATTTCCTTTGTCTCTGATTTGTAAGGTTGAAGGTTAGTGTTTGTGTGTCAGAAATGACTTACTTTTACTATCAATTACAGGATATTGGTCGCTTGCTTGACAGTTTTTGAGAGAGTTGGTGATGCTTTTGTTTCATGGTGGGCATTCTAAACCAAAGCCGCTTGATTTCTCCAACTACAACAATGCTTTTGCTCTGTTTAATGATTGTTTTATCTTCATTTCTCCTCAAGGGTTCCAATGTACAGTGAAGCTAAGTTGGCATTCTTCATATACCTGTGGTATCCTAAAACCAGGGTAAGTCTTTATATGATAATCATATTATGATTGGAGGACGGACATGAGTGTTTTTATATGTCCATGATCCTTTTCCTTTAATTGTTCAGGGCACGACATATGTCTATGAGTCCTTCTTTAGGCCATATCTTTCACAGCATGAGAATGACATAGACCATAGTTTGTTGGAACTAAGGACAAAAGCTGGAGATATGGCAGTTATATACTGGCAACGAGTTGCAAGCTATGGTCAGACCAGAATCCTTGAGATTTTGCAGTATGTTGCTGCACAATCAACTCCAAGGCCGCAGCAACCTCAGGTACGATTGAAAATCCGCTACAAGCATCACTATTTGTTGCATTTTCCTAGAGAATCACTCAATACATCGGTGATAGAATATATTTTGGATTCATTGAATTCGCATTTCATGCTGTGTCATATTTGTATTTGTTTGTGGTATAGAAACGTGGAGGCAGAGCTAATCAAGCTCCTCCAAAGCCTAAGAAAGCCCCTACCACCCAACCAGAATCTGAAGAAGCAGCATTGCCCACGTCTTCTAGCTCATCTTCAAGTGAAAGTGAAGATAATGAGGCTACGGGTAAAGCAGTAGGCCCTTCAAAACCTAGGACGACACCAGCCACAGAAACGAAAACAGCGAGTATCACTCAGATAGTACAAAAATCAGTCTCTTCCCCAACTGTGAACCCGACTCAATCAACCACCC